TGGTGCGGGCGTGAAAGCTCGGCGTCGACACAATGGATGATGCCAAAGATTAACGCACCGCTATCGCACATCTCTGCCAGGCCCCCAATGGAGGCGACACATACACGACATAGCCGTCGTGCCGCTGCTCAGCCTTCCCAGCCACACACCGTTCTTGAAACAAAATCGCTTCTACATCGAATTATACTTGCAAATCGTCCAGGGTATGCTGCCTCCTGGTGCCACGGACGCCTCTAACATTCCACCCAAGAGCTGCGAGATCCCTAACATCCCTGGTGAAGCGGCGGCCACTGGACTTGAACCGCTGCTGTGTCGGAAGATCGCTGATCTCCCCGAGCAGCTCTGTTAGCTTCAGGATCGCTAGCTCCTGGGCCAGCAGCGCGTTGGCTAACGGGTCGGAAGGGCAGTTATCCAACTCCTGCGTCGGCCTGCTCTTCTGTAAAATACTGATCGGCCGCTCCTTTCCGCTGCGTCGGAAAACCACCTGCCCCCGATGTCAATCGCCATCGAAAATCTTCATCTTGGTCTCGCCGCACTCCCGAATGATCCTCACCGCGTAAGACACTAGTCGAGACAACTCAACCTCGTGCGGCTCCTGATTCACCCTGTGCCACAACATGTCACGTCATTTAATCGCCGCCTCAGGACTCGGTATCTTGCGACCCTTCCACACTTTCATGAAGTCCCACATCTGGCGATTACTGGCAAAGACCACCTTCGCCTGATCGCAGAACCGTCCAATTCCAAAAATCGGCGTGATCCCCTGAACTCGCGAGGGCCTGCTGGCAGATAGCCAGGTCGCAAAATGCTTCTCAAACTCATCCTTACCCCACGTACCTGGAAATCCTGCCACGAAAACGACGTGCTTGGTGATCTTCCCCCCGCGCGGCGGCTGCATACACGGATTGCCAATGCCCTGCTGCTGCTGCTGATGCCTGAAGTCGTCGCTCCATGGATCTGGCTGCTGTCTAGGGGGACCCACACCGAAACCTGGTCGGGAGCCGCTCCCAGCCGAGCTGGCCGCCGAAGAAGGAGGTCTCGAAGACTCAAGGGCCGCCAGACGAACGGCCTGCGCTCTCACGTCGGCCTGCAGCGTAGCGATGTGCCGAGAACTGGCCGACACCGTTGCTTCAAGGCCCGTGACGGACGTCTGCTTAGGGTTTATCCTGCCCCCTGTGCTCCCCGTGACGGATCCGATGCTTTACTTACAGCCAGAGCTGCCTGTGCTGGATCCACAGGAGGAGGCGGCGGTGGTTGCAGCTGGTGCGCCTGCCGGGGTCGACGAACATCCCCACGAGGCTCAGCAAGGGGCTCCCCTCCGTCGGCATCCGTCCGTCAGATCAACATCGCCCGTCCGCGGTCGCACCCGACGATCCTCGGAAATGCCGTCGGCGGGCGCATCCTACGCCGAGGCGGCCGCGGCCATCGCGAGCTTCTGCGAAGTGCGCGCTCCCGCGAGAGAAAAGCTCGAAACTGACTGCAGATGAGAGGGAAACGCGGCTCGCCCTGCTCGGTGGCCCCAGGACTGGCACCTGAGCGGCAAGGTCGTGCGATCGATGAAACTCGACCTGTACTCGGACCAGCTGGGTTGCCTTGAGCCAATATGATGATGATGATGATGATGATGATGATGATGATGATGATGATGATGATGATGATGATGATGATGATGATGATGATGATGATGATGATGATGATGATGGTGGTGGTGGTGGTGATGATGATGATGATGATGACGATGACGACGACGACGACGAAGACGATGACGATGATTACGATGATGCTGATGATGATGATGATGAGGATGATGAATATGATGACGACGATGATGATGATGCTGCTGCTGATGATGATGATGATGATGATGATGATGCTGATGCTGGTGCTGATGCTGGTGATGATGATGCTGATGATGCTGCTGATGATGATGATTGTGATACTGGTGATGGTGATGGTGATGGTGATGATACTGACGCTGATCATGATGCTGATGACAATGATGGTGATACTGCTGCTGCTGCTGCTGATGCTGCTGGATATGATGATGCTCATGGCGATGATGACCGTACTGATGATGGTGGTGCGGCTGCTGATAATAGTGGTGATGGTGGTGATGATGATGATTATGATGATGATATGCTGATGATGGTGGTGATGCTGATGATGCGAATTGTGATGCTGATTGTGAGGATGATGATGATGATGATGATGATGATGATGATGATGACGATATTGATGATGATACTGATGGTGACATTGATGATGACAATGATGATGGTGATGATGATGATGCTGATCGTGGCGATGATGATGGTGATGATGATGCTAATGATGATGATGATGATGATGATGATGATGATGATCATAATGATGATGATGGTGATGATGATGAGGATGGCGATGATGATGGTGATGCTGATGATGCTGATGATGATTGTGATGTATGTGATGCTGATGATGTTGTTGATGATGGTGTTGATGATGGTTATGATGATGAGTA